TGTTTTTTTTTGTTTCTCGGATTGTGTAAATCATAAAATGATATTTAAATTTAATTTTAGACAAACAAGGTATGCCGTCGTGGACTTTGAATTCACAAACCTGGGGCGCGAAAACTGGATATTAATATCAGGGGCAATCATGGGTCAACACTCCCCAGGAAACGTAACAAAGTTGGAGGGGCGTGCCCTGGTACTAAAGGAAAATCGGATGGTAACCGAAACCGAATGGAAACGAATGGTCCGCCATTTGGTCAACATTTTTAGAACCACACCGACAACCTTATATCCCGTGTTAGCACAAATATACGACTCCGACCATACGGATAAACCTAACTTAACAACACAACAAATAAAGGAACTTCTTAGACCATATCACGCAATAATATTGTGGGAAGGGAGCACAGACAAGAAAATTTTAGAAATGATAGGATCACCCCACGTTATTTTTTCAATGAGGGGGTGGGACACTTTCTCAAACGGGATATTCTTTTTACAACTTTTAAAAGGTAAAGAAATAATAGCTTCCCACTACATCGGAATGTTAACGAAAAACGGCCGCGCGCTAAACTTAACGGAAGCGCACGGGCTAATATGTCAAGCGACTCATGGGGCCGCAGAAGCACATAATCCCATAACCGATGTCTTATGGTCAAGGTGCCTTTTTGGGTTTTTGGAGCGACGCTATAGCGTCCAAATAAACGACGCCCTCATGAATTAAAAAAAAAATATATATATAATAATTTTATTAACGTAACTTTAAGATATAACTCGAATAATAATTTTTCTTTATTATTTTATGGGACATGTGTTTTTTTATATATATATAATCACATTTTATTACATTTTTATTTTTTATTATTTGGAGGTTATTGGATTTATCTTACTATTATATAATTAGGTTTAGTTTTTTTTTTAAGGGAATATTTTTCTTTATCTTAGAAATATTCGATAAGAAACAACAACTACTGACCAATAAAATAAACAAAACGAAATTATTAATTTAATAACAACTTTCAGAATATTACTCCTAACGATACCGTTCACGTCAGGAACATTACGATTCACAGATGAACATTTAAATCAACATTCTGGTATCTACTACGAAAATCGAGGACCGTTGAAACTTGTAACATCTCAATGGGACCTCACTGCGTATATTAATCTTACTAAATATAATAACGAATTCGAATACATAAACCTAGTAATAGAAAATACGAAAGTATTGTGCCTTGAATACATGCACAACCCAGTAACCAATAATTTTAATTGTGACAATTTACTCAGTTCAGCTACCGCTATAGTTGAAAATTTACACCGAAAAAAGACACAGGTCTTAAATTCCATTGGACACGTAATTACTAAACGTAGTGCTTTAACTAAATTCGTAACAAAAGCAGCTAGGTTGATATACGGAATATGTAATTTAGAATGCATACAAAAATTTAATTTTAATATAGGAGTAGCTAAAAACGCATCTCAATATAAACTAATTAAAGAACAAATTAAGGTAGTAGAACTACAACATATTTTAGAACCACACAACAACATAACTATGTTGCCTTTAACGTTATCCGCAAACGGAACCACAAACATTACGAAAGAACAGCAAATAAAAAATTATTTAACAAAACATTTTATACACGTTAACTTATTAATTACAAAACATATGTTAGAAACGAATACGATATTAGAAACTATACAGCAAGCAAAAATAGGAGTTATACACCCAAGTTTAATAACGCCTCAAGAGCTATTAGAACACGTCAAAGACATTAAAGTATCTTTACCAGGGGGGACGGATTTACCCACTGACTTAGACATAACTAACATTTACGAACTGGTGAAACTCTCAGATATTGCTATTTATTATGCTAACGACAACCTAGTTTTATAATATCTTTACCATTAATTTATCAAAACGACTTTATTTTATATAATTTAATACCTGTACCAGTATGTATTAACAATGATTGTGCTTATATAAAAACTTGTAATAAGTATATAGCTATAAGTAAATCTAAAGAACATTATACAACTTATGACGAATTTTACTACACTCATTGTAAACACGCTAGAGATTTCCTATTATGTCCTGAAGGTAATCCTTTACATCCTCGTAATATACGACCCACATGCGAAGTACTATTATTGCAAGATCCAGCCAAAGTTCCAAATAGTTGTGAAGTGATGCATGTGCAAATAGGTACAACTATCTTTCATAAAAAGAGATTCAAAAATGAATGGATATACGTGACTAACTATGACGTACTATTTGTTACCTGTGATGAAGACAAGGAATCAACTAGCCACACACTCAAAGGAGTAGGAATTATACACCTCAACGAAACCTGCAAAGGTTACGCTACCAGAGACATACTGATACCGGGTAAAGTTAACTACAAATCCGAATATATGGATTTCAACCCACGGTCAATGATAGACCGTAATCACAACTCACCACGCATAGAGACCAACAATTTAATGGAGGATTATCATGTCAAAACCAATAATATGGACGACTTACATATAGTATCCAACTCTAAAAAACAATTGGACAACCAAAATAAAATTAACACAAAAATCGAGCAACTTCAAGACTTACATTAATTATTTAATTATGTATTATATATAGCCATAGGCTTTATTACAATACTGATGATGATAATGATCATACGCTGTGTTAAAACAAAAACAACAGAAAAATACAAAAACAAGTCTCCAGACCACATTCAAGAAGAAAGCGAAGAACTTAATAAACCAACAACGCATAGAAGCGACGACGTAATCGAGTTCCCACTCACACCAAGAAATAGCCCGAAGGCCCAATATGCAAAATTACAACCTTATGGTTTTCATTAAGGAAGCCAGGGACTTCCAGCTTCAAGGGGAGGAATGTAGTAAACCGACGGAGTCGATTCACTATTTTTTTTACTTTATTACATTAAAGCCACGGCCTTCACATTTTAATATGATATTTCGGATTCTCGGAACTATCAATGCAAGGCATATGGTCTACACAAATACTATTGCGTTTTACGAGTTCCAAGAATCAAAGACGTGAGAAGAACCAGTTAAAATGATATTGCAAATTTTTATTACCTTTTGGTCGCAAACCACTTTTCGGCAGCTACAATAAACAACAAGCTGCCGACTCGCCTTTTTGTCCACCTCCTAGTCTCTACCGTGTATAACAGGGAGTACAGAGAACCATATAAATATGAGTCTCTGTACACCTTAGAATCAGAATTAGTCTCACATCCCTACATGTAGTACTTACCTGGTCGCCGCCAGACTAAGTGCATTCCCAGTAGCTACAAGTAGATTTAACTAAGTTCTCGGGCAGTTACTTAACGTGCTGTCCTCAAACTTCTATAACATTTTGTAACAATTATTTTATTTTATTTTATAACAAGTTTAACTCAATTATAATAAATACTTTATTTAACATTGCGCCTTTGTCTCTCTTCGAAAAACCTTATTCCTTTTGATCAACCTGGTCCAACTACAGACGTCGGTCACTCAAATATAAGCGTTAGTGAGGGATCACTACAGCAGCCAATCAGAAAATTAGATTTTGTCGACTTATTTGTTATAACCGCGAAAAAATAACAATGATTACATTGATAATTGATTACAATGAAGCCTACACCAGCAGCTGATAACTGTTCTCTATAATTATCAAAAAATACAATTTTGTTACCTCCTATATGCTTTTTCAGATTTGAACGGCCGTTTCGAGCACTTTTCGCTGTAGGCGGATTGTCCGTTCGGGAATCGACTTTCACCCGAGATGACTGATAGCTAGGCACGCAAACTCTGAATCCGAATTTCCGATTTCAACACACACACTCAAGAACCGGACATACACGCCCGGGGCATGCCTACCTGACTAGCTACTTACATACGAGCGACCAGGCACGTAATTTAGGGGGGGGGGGGGGCGATAGGAGCGATCGCCCCCCCAAAGGCCGTAATATAGTAATTAATAAAAAATAAATAAATCTTGAATATAATATGTAAATTGGCCGCCGACCATATTTCTCCGCCAGCTGCCGTGGTGCCATGCATCAATAGATAATATTATATTTGTTGTCCTTGCGTGCCATAGATAATAAAGAATTATTATCTATGTTGCGTGCATAGAGTATACTCTATGTACTCTATATACTCTATGTGATTCTCATATCGATCTCTTATCTTGTGTCTTTTTAACGTGTTAAATACTATACTAATACTTAATAGTAGGTAATTGTAAATTGGAATTATTATTTATTAATATTTATAATTAATAATTTAAGTGCAAATTGTTAATTTTAATTTTTAAAAATGAGTAAACGATCGGTAACTCTTGCTCAGTGGTTGCTAAAAGAGCCGATTCCTGTCGAAGGTAAGAGTGATAGTTATAAACTTAAGTTCTAAAACATTGCATATTAACTGATTTTATTCTAACAAACTTATATTTTCAGAGAAACAAAAAAAATTGGAACATCCTAATCCGCCTGCATTGTTATTTGCTACTTCTGATCCCGTTATACCACAACAAATATGTGATGACATTGAATTCAGTAATGATATTGGTGATTATGTCAAAGAGAAATGTACTCAAATATCAGACTACAATAAAGCCAAAATATTAGAGCTTTCTAACATACCTGCGAATAATTTTGTATACCCATTTAGTACACACATAAAGAAAGGTAAACAAGAAAAGAGATACTTAAATAGAATTTATTTTGAAACGTACAAATGGCTAGTGTATTCTCCCAAAAAAAAATGGTTTATATTGTAAATATTGTGTTCTGTTTGCCGACAAAGGAGGAAAATGTAATAACGTGGTTTTACAAAAATTGGTCGCTATTCCTTTAGTTAAATATGCAAAGATATCTGGTAAGACAGGCGACTTGGCAGTTCATAATAGCCATCAGTACCATGTCAATGCAATTACAACAGCAGAATATTTTTTATTTAACCATAAAAACCCACAAAATGAAATTATCAATATGGTTAGCACCCATAGAAATAAGCAAATTTTAGAGAACCGAGAAAGATTGAAACCAATCATAGAGTCTATTATTTTTCTTGCTAGGCAAAACATCCCACTTAGGGGAAACCATGACTCCAGAAAACTTTTTAAAAATGAAGATTCACAACTTTCTACTGTAGAGTCTACAATTAACCAAGGACATTTTCGAGAACTTTTAAAATACCGAATCTTATCTGGTGATAGTGTGCTAGAAGAACATTTAAAGTCAGAAAATTCTAAAGCAACATATATCAGCCCATTACACCAAAATGAACTGATTAAATGTTGTCAGAATTTTATTACTGAAAAAATTATTAATGAAGTCAATGAGAATAAGTACTTCAGTATAATATTTGATGAAACCACCGATGTTAGCCATACTTCTCAAATGAGCCTTGTTTTAAGGTATGTTCATAAGGGAGTTGTTAAAGAAAATTTTATAGCTTTTATTAATTGCCATGATTATGCATTTTCTTCTGATAAGATAAATCGACGCCTGAATGATGAAGACAATGAAGACAATTTAGATTTAAATACAATTACATTAGAACCAAAGTTGACTGGAGAAATTTTAGGAGAAATAGTTGTTTCTACCCTTAAAGATTTAAATTTAAATTGTATGAATTGTGTCGGCGTGGCAACGGATGGATGTTCCGTTATGATGTCTACTATACGTGGAGCTGTTCAAAAAGTCCAAACATATGCGCCTCATGCTGTTCATTGTCCATGCTCAAACCATTCATTAAATTTGTCAATTTCTAAATCTTCATCTGTTCAAGCTATCCGAAATAGTGTAGGCCTAATGAAAGAAGTCATTTCTTTTTTCAACATGTCCTCCAAAAGAAATTATGTACTACTAGCCGTTTTAAAAGGGAAAGCACGCCTCAGAAGTTTATGCGAAACACGATGGGTTGAACGGCATGATAGTGTTATAATTTTTAAATCATCATTACCATACATTTTGGAAGCATTAACCGCAATATCATCATGGCAAGAAAATGACTCCTCATCAAAGGCAAGAACATTATTGACAGCCATATGTACCTGTGAATTTATTGTATCAATTTATTCACTTGCTTCATTACTATGCGTTACAATTTCTGTAAGTAAGATATTACAAAGTGTCAATGCAGATATAAGTAACTCAACCAATGTGATTAATGATGTCATAGATAACTTAGAAAAAAAAGACAAAACAGTACAGATGAATTCAAGTCATTATTTGATGAATGTACAAATGAAATGAATAAACTTGAAATTGATATTAAAAAACCTCGCATAGTATCTCGTCAAAATTCAAGATGCAACTATTCAACCAATTCTGTTGAGGATTATTACAGAATATCTATTTATATTCCACTTTTAGACAGTGTGTTAGATGACCTCAAGTGTCGGTTCTTAAATGAAAAAAGTCAAGCCTTGTTAAAATTATCTCAGGTTATACCTAGAAATATTGTTGAAACTGATGATGAAGATGTATATAATTTAATAAAATTAGTTATAAAGTATTTTACTTTCGATGAATATAATGAAATAAATGAAACAGAACTTAAGAGTGAACTGAATCTTTGGAAATCTAAGTGGATCAGAGAAAAGAATGAAGGTTTGTAAAATTAAGTACAAAAAATAGGGCACTTTAAAATAGTAACTTTTAAATAAATAGTAAAAACATAATTTTAAATTTCAGAATTAAGGAACATATCAAATTTGGATGCTATGACTTCATTTGAGTTATGCAGTGAGATTCTTTATCCTAATATTAAAAAACTCCTTCATATTATTGCATGTTTGCCTATAAGTGTAGCTTCAGCTGAGCGATCATTTTCCACATTAAGAAGGTAATAATTTTTATCTATTTCTAACATTATCATAGTTAACTCAATTTTCAACTTAACTGATTTTCATTGATGTAAACTTAAATCACTTTAAACTTTTAATACAACTTGATACTTGCATGAATCCAACACTTCCTCACTAATTTTGTACTAATGATTAACTATTACACTAATTGTATTAAGCTTTTGCTTTTGCTTATAAGGTGCTATATTTTTTTTGACTGCTGTTGCTATAGATTAAAAACTTGGTTGCGTTCTAAGATGGGACAAGATCGGCTATGCGGTTTGGCTCTGCTACATATTCATCGAGAAATAGATATATCAGTAGATGATATAATTAAACGCTTTGCTTCTTTAAAAAAAAGAAATACTGACTTAATATTATAAATATTATTAATTTTTGACTATAAAAATTGTATAAATTTTTTTTATATACCTGTATTATGTAACAATGTAACTATATTTTTTATTTTTTTTTTTTTTTTAAAGCCTTTATTCAATTAAATATTTAGCTTCACAATTATGATTTATAACTATAATAATATAATACTACCAACTAATTTATGACTTTGCTTCTGATCGCCCCCCCCCCCCAAAATAAGCATCCATTTACGTGCCTGCGAGCGACTTACACCCCCACTGCATCTGACACTCGGGAATCGACTTTCACCCGAGATGACTGATAGCTAGATACTCAAACTCAGAATCCGAATTTCCGATTTCAACACACATACGAGAACCGGACATACACGCCCGGTGCATGGTCTGCGATCCGACGTAGTCGGATTGCCTACCTGGCTGGCTGTTTCGTACGATCGACTTGAATCGCGTGACTTACGACTAGACACTCTTCCGAGTTCAAAAAATTACCGCTTAACCAGTGCTGCCAACACGACAAAACAAAATAACCGATGACCCCCCATTCCCGCCTTAGGCTGGATCAAAAAACCCAGCATCGCCGACAAAGATGCACCACCGCCCACACAGTCTTTCCGCCGTAGGCGGGATGACAAACACCGGTATCTAGTCTCTTATATTATAAAACGCTAATAACGCGTATAAGATCCGCGGGGAGCGCTGACGGCACTCTGCGTTTCTTCCATGACGACCAATCACAATACTTCCCGCGCGTTACCCATTAAACGAGTAATTATTTTTGACGAAGCATAACTTAGCCGGTATTCGACTTAGAGACGCCGGACCAATGGGCATCTCAATTTTTTAGGCCCCGAAGGATTTTCAACATTAGGGAACCAAAGCCCCCACCCCCCCCACATTTTGAGTTGAGTGTAACTCGGCCGGAATTCAAGTTAAAGACCTCGGACCAAGGGGGAACCCATTCTTATTATATAGACTACCGTTTTCCGCTTTAGGGAACGGGGGCACCTCCTCCCCCCCTTTTGGATTTTGCTTTTTTGATGGATTTTGGTCCGGGAGAGTACTAACACCCACCTCGCCAAGGGGAAACTCGGGGTTTTGAGTTTTTGATAGGATTTATTGGGATTTTCTTAAATATTGTTTTTATTGATAAGGAAAGTGATAAGAATTTTATTTTATCGCCGCGAGCACGGCGACGCGGCTTAAGAGTCATACATTTGCCTCGGAATTTCATCTGAGTAGGTGGCTAGGTTGGTTAGGCGTTAGGATAGGTGACTCTAGGGTCGTGGTTTCGAAACCGCCGCCAGGACTATAGATAAATTGCGGCGCCCGTGATAAATGGAATTTTTTTTTCGCGTTTTTTTTGGTCACATTAATCATGTGTTCCGATTTTTTTCAAAATTCGAGTTATTATAATATTATATATATCGGTATTTATATATATTTATTTTGCAAAAAAATAATAATTAACATTTAATTAATACTTGATTTTACCGTGACCAACCTACAATATAATTGTAATGTAGTACCTACTTGATATATTACAGTTTTTAGGGGATTCCGATTGGGTTAAATATTGCTACAGATTATAAATACTGTTTAATACGATATTAATAAACTATATTAAAAAATAGTACGACTATATGACTGCTCCATTTGCCGTTTTTTTCGAAAATTCGAGTTTCAGCCCCCTTCGGTCGTATCACCCTCCCCGTCGACGACTTATTCGAGTTCCCCGCTAAATTTATAGCCGGCGTGCGGCCCTACTTTTCCACAGACGAGTCCCGGGGAGGAGAGGCGTCGCGGAAACGAGAGTAGGTACCGTGTAGGTATCGCTATATACAGGCATAAATACATGCGTCGAGGCGTTTTTTGGGGAGCCGTCACTGCATTATCTTTCCTCCTTATCACTTTTCACGGTTTTGACCATTTTTCACAATTTTTTTTCAACATTTTTGAGGTTTATCCCCCTCGGGTGCCTCGGGAGGGCCCGTTTGGACCTTATTCGCGTTCCTCGGTAAATTTATAGACGGCGCGCTGTCCTACTTAATTCCCGGCCGGCCCGCGGCGGCAGATATCGCGTGCGATACGAGCGCCGCCGTCGCGAGTGTTTTTTGCAGTATTTTTTAAAAAATTCGAGTCTTATCCCCTTTCGGTCGTATCGCCCTCCCCGTTTGGATCTTATTCGCGTTCCCCGCTAAATTTATAACCGGCGCGAGGCCCTACTTTTTCAAAAACGAGTCCCGGCAAGGAGCGGCGTCGCTTAAACGAGAGTAGGTACCGTGTATGGTATCGCTATATACAGGCATAAATACATGCGTCTCGAGGTTCGATTTTCTTCGCGAATCTCGCGACGGTCGTCCGCTCGCCGACGCTGTCGGATCGCCCGCTCAAACTCCCTTTGAACCTCTTCTAAACGGCGTTCGCCTTTCGCGGGGACGGCAACGCGGCTTAAGAGTCATTGATTTGACTCAGGTTTTCATCTCAGTAGGTAGTTAGGTAGGTTAGGCGTTAGAACAGGTGACTCGAGGGTCGTGGGTTCAAACCCCCCGGCCCCCGGGAATATACGATAATTTGCGGCGGCCGTGATAAATTAATTTTTTTTTTGCGTTTTTTTTTTTTCGTCGTTCGCTATCACTTCCGTCTTATCATTTTTAACGTAAATGTTCCGATTTTTTTCAAAATTCGAGTTTTAACGCCTCTACTGACTTCGGACCTCCCCGTTGAAGACTTACTCGCGTTCCCCGTCAAATGATTTAGCAGAGCGGACAGTGTCTTTATTACTATACATGGGCGTGAATATATTATGCGACGAAGAGTTCGATTTCTTTTTTTTTCAAAAATTTGAGTTTTTGAAAGGAGCTCCTTTTGGTCGTATTACCCTCCCCGTTTGAATCTTATTCGCGTTCCCCGCTAAATTTATAGCCGGTGCGCGGCCCTACTTTTCACAGACGAGTCCCGGGAAAGAGCGGCGTCGCGGAAAAGGGAGTAGGTACCGTGTAAGTATCGCTATATACAGCAATATATACATGCGTCGCGTCGTTTTTTGCTGTTTTTTTCTAAAATTCGTTTCTTGGCCCGTTTTAGTGGTTTTACCCTGCCTGTTTGGATGTTATTGGCATTCCCCGCTAAATTTATAAGCCGCCGTCGTCAGTACTTCGCTCGAGTCGTGTTCCCCGGTGGAGATCGGGGAGCGGACAGTGTTGTTATTACTTTATACGGAAATGAAAATATGCGACAAAAAGTTCGATTTTTTCATACACACTTTCATACACATAATACATAAGTCATGACACAGTGATGCACCATTATAATTATGCAATTATAATTACTAAATAATTTAAAACATCATATGACATTTAATAAATTGGTAGGTAGGTACATCATATATTATATACAGACATACAATATAACAGCAAAATATTATGATAGTAGGTACTTACGAAGATAAGTGCCAAACAATTGTATAGTGTATTAATTTATATATACCTACGTTTAATATGATAGTATTACATTTCAATAAAATTTGTTATTCACCAATATAATTATCTATTTGTTAATTTGATTTAATTCTCATAATTAAATAAATATACATGGTAGGTATATCAGATTTGAACGGCCGTTTCGAGCACTTTTCGCTGTAGGCGGATTGTCCGTTCGGGAATCGACTTTCACCCGAGATGACTGATAGGCGATAGCTAGACACTCAAACTCAGAACCCGAATTTCCGATTTCAACACACATACGAGAACCGGACATACACGCCCGGTGCATGGTCTGCGATCCGACGTAGTCGGATTGCCTACCTGACTAGCTACTTGCATACGAGCGACTTACACCCAACTGCACCTGCAGACACTCGGGAATCGACTTCCACCCGAGATGACTGATAGCTAGACACTCAAACTCAGAGAACCCGAATTTCCGATTTCAACACACATACGAGATGACTGATAGCTAGACACTCAAACTCAGAACCTGAATTTCCGATTTCAACACACATACGAGAACCGGACATACACGCCCGGTGCATGGTCTGCGATGCCTTGCCTACCTGGCTGGCTGTGTCTTACGATCGACTTGAATCGCGTGACTTACGACTAGACACTCTTCCGAGCTCAAAAATTACCGCTTAACCAGTGCTGCCAACACGACAAAACACAATACTCGACGACCCCCCCCTTCCCGCCGCAGGCCGTATCAAAAAAACCAGCATCGTCGACAAAGATGCACCACCGCCCACACAGTCTTTCCGCCGCAGGCGGGATGACAAACACCAGAATCTAGTAATATAATAAATTATCATTTATCATTTATCATTATGTAATAAATAATAATATTCTACTATAATAATAGTAAGTTACTATAATTGTTGTTGTATCGTTCTGTGATTGTGATAATACCTATCATGGCTAAATATATATTATTTAGCCATGATACCCATAATATAATAACATAATAATATATACCCATATATACGCATTACGCATCGATATGGATGGGTAATCCCAGTGCCGCCGTCGTCGTCCGTTGCCCGCCGCCCATAACGGTTTACGATTACTCCATAGTCCCATATTCCCCGGACAATCAGACACCACCACGGACTATATTAAGATATCTTAGTCCGTGGACACCACCAAAAATTTACTTTATCATCAGTATTGAGTATTCGCAGACTCGCAGTATATTATATTATAGATCTATGCCTAAGTCAGTATACTGACGCAGTGACGCTATAGCGTTCTCTCTGTAGCATAATATTTTTATTAGATTAGTAGGTAGATGGTCCGATATTGGCGTGTCAGCTATGGAGAACACAGACTAAAATCACCTAAGACGAGACCAGAGTACCAGACTATAACTCGTGCCACTGAGAGAGCACTACTCGTTGGCGCATCCAAAATTATTCCAAATGACCGAGCGTTTTCGTACCCATATTTCTCCCACTCTACCACCTAGTCGCCACGATGGAGTAGCAACGGCGGCCAGCATACGGGCAGATTTAGTGGTGGGAATGCGCGAGATCGGACGAATTTTGGTCGCCGCCCAGTAGCGCTCTCTCAGTGGCACCATAGAATAAAGATAATGAGTGGCATGCCACACGACTGTACGAGTATAAGATGTCACGTGTCAATGACATTTTAATTTTTAACAAATGCTTTCAGTGCTTTTACCGTTTCAGTATTTTACATTCGCATTTGTACAGTTTTAACGTTGTTTGAATTCTATATATTGCTATAGAACTGCTGCAGATTAATAATTGCAATCGGTTTAATTACAGGTATGTAAACGTTATTTTTAGTTTATTTAGTATTTTTGTTATTATTATTATAACGTCTCTAGTCTCTACGACGTTGGATGAGAAAGGATGAACATTTTACTCGTTATAAAATAATACTCAAGACTTTAACATTATGCATCTTTTAATTATACATCATAGTTCAGAAATAAAGGTATAACTTATTTACTATTAGATATTATTAAAAATAGAATAATATTTCTATCGTAATTCATTATAACGATGCTTCAGTTCAAAACTGCAACAACTCATGTTATAGCAAATCTGAGTTATGTACACCATCTAATAACGATTTAGGTTCAAGAACGCAATAAATTATATAGGTAGTTATAATTATTGACTATAAGAGAGCATTTTCAATTTCATAATTTACATTACGTTATATAGCGCTACAATATAGAAAACACATTAGGTAGGTAAACCCAATAAACTGATTTTTTTTTAGTTGTTGCAATTTTGAACTGGAGCATCGAATTATTATTAATATCAACACAAGTCACAATTACAGCTATAACATTCATTACTGCAGTAGTGCAGCCATGATATAACAACAAGTCGTGCTTAAAATTCTAGAGGGGACTAATGTCTCCATATAGTTTTAATAGTTCCATATTTAATTTTATGTATAGGTAATGCCTAAGGTTAATTTATCATACCATGATCTTTATACCATGACTTCAACTATAGTATACCTAGGTTATAATATAGTAGGTAGATATATTTAATTGTTATTTTATAATAGCTATTATTTACCTATATTATAATAAGGATAAGTGGGCTGCACACGAAACCGTTTTTTGTAGTGGACTGTATGAGGGAAGGAAAAATAGAAGTAGCTAACGAGATTTTGTAACTCCTTTAGTTCAAGTCCAAGACTTGAAAATGTCTTGCTGAGATGTCACCGGAAAATGACGAGGAAGAATTAAGTCAAAGACGGCTGGCAGTTCCTAACAAAATTGTCGCCACGTGGACAATAACTCTTCTGGCATTGGATCGTCCCACCCGAGTTTATTGCTCCACAGTAACTGCATAAAATATTTCGCCCACAATAGCAACGGGCCTAAAGCGCCGATGGGGTCAAACAAACGTGCAATGATTGACAGAACTTGCCGTTTGGTAGACGACGTTTGAGGGATGCTGGTATGGTAGGCGAAATTGTCATTAGTTGTGTTCCAATGCAGCCCAAGAACTTTTACCGAATGTTCATCCCGTGGGTCAAATGATACGGAATTCGCACGATGGTCAGGACTGATGGACCCTAGGACGAGAGCACTATGGCTGGTCCATTTGCTCAGTTCACAAGCCCCGTTGTGGAGCAAACCGACGATTGCCTCTTTTCGACGTAGAAGTTGCTCTTCCGTGTCGGCACCGACAACTATGTCGTCAACATAAGCTGATCGATTGAGGACAACTTTGGCCAACGGGAAGAGATGACCATCCTGCTCATCAAGCTCGTGTAAGCAACGGATGGCCAGATATGGAGCGCAATTAAGGCCATATGTAATGGTACATAACTGGTATTCCTGAAGATTCTCACTGGGTGAATCGCACCAAAATACATGTTGAAAGACGCGATCTTCAGAACGGATTAAAATTTGCCGGTACATTTTAACAATGTCGGCGGTCAAAATAAATCTGTGCAATCGACAGCGTAGTAAGATGTCACGCAAGTCCACTTGTAGTTTGGGACCAGTGCACAAAACGTCGTTTAAGGAACGACCAGACGAAGAAACAGACGAGGCATCGAAAATAACGCGTATTTTCGACATGTCACCGTCAGCCTTGAGTACGGCGTGATGAGGTATAAAATATTTGCCGGGTTCGGGAGCTAACACCATGTGGCCTAACCTTAAGTATGTGGACATAAACTGCCGATAGGCGGCATACAACTCCGCGTCCTTAGTCAACCGTCTCTCCAGGTTGTGAAAACGCTTTAACGCGATGGACCGAGAATCACCAAGGCCGTGAGGTGACGAAGTTTGAAGTTGGACCGAATTGGTAAACAAATCGTGAAACGGTAAGGCGACGCAAAATCAGCCTGACGAATCACGTGAAGTAGAATTTTTAAAAAATGTCTCACACCATTGGTCTTCAGTGGTGGGTGATACAGAGGCGGCAGGTTCTTCGATTTCCCAAAAACGTGAAAGTTGATCGTTGATTGACTGATCGACGGCGGTTGTAAGAGCGACTAACGGCGGGGTATTTGATGTAGAAAAGGATCCAAAGATTATCCAACCAATTTTGGTGTCCAGAGCCGATGGGAAGCCCGCATAATGTTCAACGCCAGCCTGTGAACGAATGAGGTTAGGAAAGACATCCGCCCCAAAGAGGACGTCGATTCGCGCTGGGACGTCGAATTGCTTATCAGCAAGTAAAAGATGTCGGTACCGATGACGTACGTTGGACGGCACATGTGCGGACGGCATGGCTGCCGTGATGTGCGGTAAAACAACCATATCTACTGTGGGAAACACGTATTTTGAATCAAAATGTGAAGTGAATTGACACCTAGTGACACCTTGACTTTGAGTAATAGGGCTTTGTCCGAGTCCAACGATGATTGACTGGAAACGATTTCGGGGTAACCCAAGTCGAGCTGAGCAATTGTTTGTCATGGCTGAAAATTGAGAGCCACTGTCTAGAAGTGCACGAACTGCATGAGTTTGTCCCCACGCATCCTTAATGTGAACGATCGTGGTGCCTAGCACAACAGTAGAGTTAGCACGAGCTGCACCCACAAATGACGTAGTATTTTCGTTTACAGATGTTGACGGGGTCTCCGCAGTCGATGACTTATAAGAAGTAAGATGGAGTAAGGAATGATGCTGTTTGCTGCTACACGAACGACAGGCACTTTTTGACGAGCAGGCCTTAACCATATGTGTCGGATTAAGGCATGCGAAACATAATTTTCGCGTAACGACAATATCGCGGCGTTTTTCAACAGATAACTCGTTAAACTTTGGACATTGATATATGTTGTGATCGGCGTGATCACAAAACACACAGTTTCTCGAAACGAATTTAATAGAGGACCTATTTGGCGAAGACGTAGTCGCAGCAAGGACGGATTTTGTTGCAATGGTTGATTTCCCACGAACGGGTGCCTTTTCGCGCCATTTGTCGACGCGATCGATTTTATTCTCGATTTTGTTGCTCAGCTTAAGATTTTCTAAAATCTTACAACGCTGTTGAACAAAGTCTAATAGTTCACCAAATTCGGGAATTGTTGATTGAGATATACTAGACTCAAATAGGAGTAGTGTGGTTGGATCGAGCACACGCGATGCCATATGAAATAGTAAAAACCCGGCCAGATCATTGACACCGATGGATTTTATAATGGATACATTTTCTTTGAAAGTGTTGACAAATTCCATTAACGCGGGTAACGATTCTTGAGCTATCGGCTTAAAAGCGAAAAGTTTGTCTAGATGTGCCGAGGCTAATAATCGTGTATTGTCGAAACAATCGGACAGTGCTCCCCACGCAATGGCATAATTTTTCGCAGTGAGAGGCACGGATTTAATAACTGACAGCGCAGAACCAGACAAACGTGAAATTAAATAATGAAAACGTTCCGCGTCATCAATACTCTCATTATTGTGTACAAGAGATAATGTCGCGGAAAGATCGCCATTCTAATATCGAACCGTCAAATGAAGGTAATTCTATTTTTGGTAACTGTATGCGCGACTGTATGCGCGCGGTATTAACACCGGTTGGTTCAGAACGCACAGAAGGTTCGACGAGAACGTCGTCGGAAATCGCCATAATCAGATAATAGTTTTCCGACAGCTTGTTCCCAATAGGTACATGAATTGAGTTATACTCTTCCTCGCGTTGGAGTTGAATCAAAATATCGAGAATAGAGTCTTGCTCGAGTCTTATAAACATTATGGAATGAGAAAATTCCGAGGAAAATTCTATAGTTTTTAAATTAAATTTTTTATATTTACCTAATCTAATCGGCCATTGTCAAAATATTTTTGGTATATAAATTTAAGGGTGATCCATTTAAGTCTAAATAAAATAATCAGTTTTTAAACAAAAATCAAAAATTAGTGGCCATTATAGGGTTATATACTGGCCATAGCTAGGTGCCAGGTGGCAACTCCATCCTACTTTTAGGTATTTTACCCACTATTTTATAATCTTTAAAAATTGTATTTTTATAGTTTCCTGAGAATAATGCATTTAATGAACCAATTGAAACTATTAATGAATGTGATTTATTCAAGCGTAATTTGTGCCAGTGGGCAGTAAAGTTTAACATAAATCATAATGCTTTGGATGGATTATTGGTTATTTTAAAAAAAGTTCCAACATTATCACAAATTCCCAAAGATTCACGCAGTATTTTAGATACTAGAAAAATGAATGAGACACAGTCCTTAACTACAATAAATCCTGGTTTAAATTACCATTTTGGTTTGAGATTAGCTATTCTGGAACACTTTAAATTTATTTCAACAAATAATATTGATGTTATCAAAATAGTTATTGGCATTGATGGCTTGCCAATCTCCAAGAGCAGTGCAAGTCAATTATGGCCCATTTTGGGGTATATACGCCCATTCAAGAATTCTGTGTTTCCAATTGGTATATACTGGGGCCATGAGAAACCTGACGATTCTAATTTATATTTAAAACAATTTTGTGTAGAAGCTAAAGAGTTATTGACAAATGGCGTTAATATTAATGGAGTGATTTTTAAAGTTATAATCGATGGATTTTCTCTAGATGCCCCCGCTTAGTAGTATGTGCTAAAAGTTAAGGGTCACAGTGGTTATGATTCGTGCACCCAGTGCATAGAAGAAGGGGAATATTTGAAAAATTGATCATTTTTTCCATATACAGCAAGTAGTGAAAAAAAACGCACACATGACGACTACATTAATATGAAGTATGAAGAACATCATGTGGGGAATACAATCTCAATTTTATCAGATTTACCTGGTGTAAATATTTTAGATGCATTTGCGTTGGATTACATGCATCTTGTTTGCATAGGAATTATGAAAAAATTAATTCAATTATGGATGAACAAGGGGCCATTGAATGTTCGATTACCTAGTTCTGATGTAAAAATAATATCAAACCAACTGGTATCATTTAAAAAGAGTGTCCCTTGTGATTTTTCCCGGAAACCCAGGGCCTTAAATGAATAACCAAGATTTAAAGCCACAGAACTGCGTCAAATCCTTTTATATACTGGACAGGTCGTTTTCAAAGACAACATAAACAGCAACTGTTATATGCACTTCATGGCACTTAACATAGCCATGACTATATTATTAAGTGATAATATGAAAAAAAAGTACATAGATTTTGCTAGAAATTTACTCAAATACTTTGTTCAAAAATTTGAAAATCTTTATGGAAGACATTTTATTTCGCATAATGTTCATGGGCTTTTACATATCTCTGATGACTATACCAATTTTGGCCCTCTCGACAACATAAGCGCGTTTCCTTTTGAAAATTATATGAAGTCCCTCAAAAAAATGATAAAAAAACACGATAAACCGCTACAACAAATAATTAAAAGATTTTATGAACAAAAAAATGCAAATACTTATAAAAATGCTAATACAGAAATTGTTTTTAAAAATGAACACACAAATGGTCCTATGTTAAATGATTTAATAGCACCACAATTTAAAACTGTTCATTTACTAAATACAAAAATTAAAACAACATGTATAGCTGATCAATTTATATTAACTAGGTATAGACAATAATATTATGAAAGTCTTAAACATAGCTCATACTAAAGATACGAATGAAGTTGTTTTCATTGGGAAAATATTCCAATCTAAAAGACCATTTTATGAACAACCACTTAGTTCTGATACTTTTAATATTTATACTGTTGATAATTTATCTAATGAACTAGGTTGATTCCAATGAAAAATTTTAAAAAAAAAGGTTATGCTATTGGAAAAATGTAATGAAAAAATAGCTTTGCCTATTATACATTCAATTAATGATGATTAAATTAATTAAAAAAAAAAAAAAAAAAAAATTTTGAAGGTACCTAGTTAAATATATTTTTTTGTACTTAACCTAAATTAGTTAAATTTTATGTTTACAGTTATATTTTATGCATTCAACTTAATATGACATACCACATCGTAATATTTGTACAAGAAGATACAGTTGAAGTTGTACCATCTCATTGGCTGTCAAAAGATGGAACTACTTGTGCTTGGCCTCATAGAAATTTAGATCCAAAAAAACAGATTGAAAAAAAAACAAATCCTAATACATCAGATTTCAATTGGTATGATGTTCGTATTTTAGCAAAAGATATTGGTTAGTAAAAATATTCAACTGAAATAGTTGTTAATTTGCAATAAAAAATGTTTAATTATTACTAGGTACCTTTATTTTTATTTAGAGTTTGTTTATTATAATTTATAATATTGCTTTAAAACGGTTTCAGCAACTTTAAAAGATGCCAAAACTAAATGTAGTAAAGCAATTCATACCTAAGATGTATCAGAAAGTGAACATAAAGAACTAGAAAACTTCGATGCAAATACTTGGTGATACTTGTAATTAGGATTTTCATTTAAAAAAGAAAAAAAAATCTTCCGCACTGTCAAAAACCGCCAAAAACATTTAGTCCTCCCAAATTAATTGCTGATACAGGTATACAATAAAAGTAAAATTAAACCTATTCATTATTGTAATATGTATAACATTGTATTTATAATTTTTTTTTAGACAATTCAGATTTTGATGACTCTGATACCGATCGTACATTTGTTCTCCCGAATATGAATTCATGTAAGATATAAATGAATTACAATTATTATTTTTAATAATATATTACAATTTTCTTTTTTTTTAGGTGTTAAAAAGTCTCCCGTAAAATATTTTGAAGTAAAAATGAGTGAAAAGCAACAAAACATGTCACAAAACAATAATTATCGATCCCTTCTAGAAAGTTATCTCTTGAAGGTAATAAAGTATTACATTCCAATGAATGCACATAACATACGCGAACTGTTGTGTTTGCTAACTATATGAACAAGCTATTTATATTTTTGCCATTATTATTATTGTCATTATATTATAGGACCAAGCTCAAATATTATTAAAATAAACTCACCTGCATCATCAGGAAAATGGAAAGTAATAATTGATAATAATAATTCAAGGTCCACTAAATCTTCAAAAAGAAAACTAAATTTTGACTCAATGTCCCAAAAAACAAATGGGAACCGTAATAGTAAAGGTCGTGTCAGTCAGTCTCCAAAACATTTGGTAAATTGAACTTACATAATTAAATTAACATAAAATTAAAATTATACATTAGTTATGTTATTAAAATATATATAGATAAAATATAAATATATATATTAATATTATACCATCAATTTATTTATTTTGAATCTGTTTGTATAAATCAAAAAAAGTTTCCTTGAATTAATTTTGTACTTTACTTATCACTTTCAGAAAGCATAAATACAGATTTGCTTAAGTCCCCTACAAGAAACTATCGCTTAAATGATCATAATATTGATGATGTCGTTACTACTCAAGTTGATTTTAACACGTCACCCATGCCTTGTAGTCGTTATACTAATGAGGTCTTACCTACCGATGGTAATATAATAAATAAATAATTTGCATCTTTTTCAAAACCATTATAGGTAACTGATTTGTAAAACGTATATAAGATTGAAAATATTAATAATTTTCAGGTTTAAGAAATACTTTAATAAATTTGACTCGTTCCATTACAAACATTAAATATGATATGATAAATTATATGATAAAAATTGATAGGATTGAATATATGTTGAGTGATATTCATGCAAATCAAAATAAATCTTTTTCAAAGGAAGTTAATCATCTAGTCAATGAAAAAAAAAAAAAATAAGTTATTTATTAATTTTACATTAATTTGAACCATTCTAATATTTCATACAAATATAGCCTAGATCTTATAATATATTATAATAATGATACCATCTACACTGTGCGGATGACGGCTGCACACGTAAAGCCGGTGACGAGTGTGCGTGTGGACGGCGGACAATACGCAACCCGTCCTGTGTGACGATATACTTACGTCCTAGGTCGATAGCCCTGTGGGAGGGGATAAAAGTGGACTGTATTTAGATTATGATGAATAGGAAGCTGGTTGAAATAATATGATGATGAGTATAAGGTAACTCTAACAGACAACAATGTTTTTTTTTTGGTATAAGGTGTACAGAACAATTTATTGTAATGTTCTGCAGTAAACGTTATTTAAGCTAGGGTTAGTAGGTAACAGTAGTGCACGATCACAAACGATCGCGTAAATCAATAAATCAGAGAAAAACATTAATACAAATTACAAATACAAAAGTGATGTTTGTTGACAAATAACTCGCGGTGTACGACCTGATAACGACGGGTGATGATACCACACAGACTTCTATACTACAAGATAAGGAACTCTTATACAATTACATTGTTACAATGAAGCTCAGCTGTGAACGGCCGCCATTTTGTCGGTTGGCAAACATTTCATTTATTATACAAAATGTATTAGGAATAATAATTTTTTTTAACGGTCAAATAAAATAGTAAATGTAAAATGACTTATATAAAATATTTTTTTTTTTTGTAAACTAAATGTTTAAAAATAATAAAATACGATATAAAATAAATCATAATATCATCTTATTTGTCATATGAAATACCATACAATTGCCAACCGACCTTGAAGCTTCAATTCATGACCGGAGTTCGCTATCTAGTAATATATAGAAATCTGTGTGATACCACGACGATGATGCTACAGTTGACCCAATGCGACGTTGTAACAGCTGCGGGCGGCATTCGGGGCTGGCGGCACTTTGCACTCTCGTCGACTTCGACGACACTGCGAACGTACGACCGGCGGTCGATCGGTTGAAGCGGATGTAAAAACCAAATATTGGACGACGCGGACACGAACTCGTCGCCGGCTAAAGGGGAGATTTTCGAAACGGTCACGCGAAAACATCAATTGTCGCGGAGTAGGGACGCGGCACAAACGACAACAAGTTACTTAATCACGGTTCGCACTGCGTAGGACGGGCGGGCGGAACACGTGGGTGAGAGTCGAGCAGGGCTCGAAACGCACCGCGAGTCGGGCGAGCGACGAAGAAATACACAAAGTTGTGTTGGATCACGACACAGGCGGTCGAGCAATCCAAGATGTCGACACTACGCACGGCGTGACATGAAAAAGAGCACGGGCGGCTCGAACGACAAACACGTGGGTAACGAGAGTAACACGCGGTCGGGGTCGCACAGCGAGAATCGGACGGGCGACGAAAACAAAACAATTAACGTATCGCGACACGGACGGTCGAGACGATACAAATCGTGGGCACAACGCACGGTGCAACACGAGAGCATAGACGGCTCGGAACAAGACACAAGTCAAAAATACGGTAATGACGGTTCTAACCGGTTCGCGATGGTAAAACATGCGGATGTGCACGACGACTTAAAACACGTGACCGATTGCCTAGACGGCTCCAAAACGACAAAAATATATGGCGGCGGGTACAGCCAGCGGCGACTAGACCGCAACGATACCGTCCCCTCTCCGGGGGTACAAAGTTCGCTGCCACAGTATTCGGCGCCGGGGCGGCAGGGTGACAACATTGCGACATACGCGTATCAACCACGACCGCGCGCAATTTGATATGCCGACTGTGTATCCAACATACACATTAATAAAACAAAATATACTTACATATATTTTAGAAACCGTAAGAAGTGTACAAAAACATCGGAACTGCACAGACCAAGAAGTGTTAAAACCAATGAAATTTTTCATGGCGAATGCTAAATTCAGAGAAGAAAAAAAACAACAAAAAATTCATTCTTTATAATTTTAATTATTCATAACTATAAATTAATTTCAAATGTTTTGTTTTATTTGCTAACAATAATAAGAGAATTGGAATCAGTAAAGATACTAAAACTTAAATTGTAAATTAATTATAATATACAATTTAATATATTTTTTTTTTTAAATTCTAATGACTAATATTGATTATTATTATTTATTATTCATATTATTCAAAATACTATTTTTAATATTAGGTAAATTACAGGACTTATTTGTACCTGTATTATTTTCACTCTTATTCATACTGATAAATTAATTTTGAATGTTTTGTTTTATTTGCTAAAAATAAAATTGTAAATTAATATTATAATATACAATTTAATATATTTTTTTTAATTCTAATATTGTTTATTATTATTTATTATAAATATTCAAAATACTATTTTTAATATTATGTTAATTACAGTAATTTGTACCTGTATTAATTTTACGCTTATTCATATAATTATAAATTTTAAATGTTCTGTTTTATTTGTTAACAATAAGAGAATTGTTATCAGTATATAGCTACTAAAAATAAAATTGTAAATTAATATATTATAATATACAATTTAATATATTTTTTAATTCTAATATATTGTTTATTATTATTTATTATTTATTATTCATATTTAAAAAAATATTTTTAATATTATGTAAACTACAGGACTTTGCACCTATATTACTTTTACGCGTATTCCGTAAAAATCCAAACAATATCCAAAATCCTATTTTATAACCAGAATGAACACTAACCTTATAATTTATTTATTTTTTCAATAAATGTAACTTATACCCAACAAATTCAACTTATTTTGAGAACTCAAATTAATATATAATATGAACCAAAATAAATAATTCAGTTTAGAGTCCTCATCCAGGTTGAATGATACAATAAGTGTATTGGGTTTTAATGATAAGTCATAATTATCTAATAATAGAATATTAACTATATAATCTAGTATGATGCCCTATAATACAGGATTAATTCATACATTTAAATCAATAAATGTTTAAGTAATTACTAATTAATAAATATTTTGAAGTAATCTTTAAAATTAATACAAAATATTATCATATATTTTGAAAAGAATGTTAACAGTATATTTTAAAAATTGAATTATGAATATGTTTTAAAAATATTTCCAAAAACATTTTGAAAACAAAACAAAAATTTTTTGAAGATTATTTTATCAGGCCAAAAAATATCTTGAAAACATTTTTAAAATATATGTTGATCATTAAAAGATCTTTTGAAAATATTCATTATATTCTGTAAAATGTTTCTAAAATGATTTTAAAACTGCTTTTTGCTATGTGGGCTATAATAAATTCCAAATTAATCATATCACAATATCCATTAGATACTTATAACTCATTATACATCAACAAAAACCGTGATACTATCATACATATATAATAGTACACTTTAGAAGTTTCAAGTACCCACGAATAATATTATTCAATCACAACAAAATAACTAAAATAGTTATTCAAGGTTTTTTAATATGTAATTTCGTCCAAATTTGAATTTAAAATGTCTGTAAAAAATAAGTGTGTTCATATATTTTTTAGATTTTTTGGTTATAGTATAAACTATTTATGAGAA